GCAGGATAGAGCTGATCACCACGGAAGTCCAGCTTCCGCCAAAGCGCTGTATGAGAAAATGGGGTTCCGATGCGTGAACACGTGGGCCAGGCGAGAGTGCGGCTTTGTGCTCTGGACATTCACGCTCGTGTATGACATACAACAGGACAGCACCTACTACTGATGATTGGGCGGTACCAAACTGTTCAAAGCTTTCCAAAACCGTCGGAAACCATCACGGGTTGTTTAAATACATGCGGCGCTCCCATACTGGGAGAAGACTTTTTCCACACCGAACACAACATAAACACTGTAAAATGCAAAAAGTTTGCCTAATTCTGGGTAAAGTGTAAAAATGTATTTTTATTTACCGAATATTTCTTTATTCTAGTTCTTACTCAGAACATTTATTTGCTTCTGTGTATTCAGTAGTCTTTTAGCCTGGGTACCATCCCCAGTAGTATATTCGCAAACTCTATAACTGGGTCTGGACTTGCACACATATAAAACGATTGGTCATGACGTCACGTAATGAGCTAGCCCGAGCAGCGGGGCTTCATTTGATTGGCTAAGCCTCAGAGGCGACGGCCAATGTCGCGCCTGCATTATTCAAGTGATGTTTGTTGTTTTGTAAACACAGATCTTCGTGCGAGTGTTCCTTTTCTCGGCGCGTTCTTTTTTTACCGGTAGGACGCCCAAAACATCATGAACGAAATTATTCAATGCATCTTTTTGCTCATTTTTGAGCGACGATATTCTGTCTAAATCGTCCAAAACGGACGTGATTGCGAGGTCAACATCAACATCAACCTCCGTGAGCTGAGCGGCTTGTGCGTCAGCCATGTTGATGATTTATCGCGGAAAGACTGACTACGGCTATATCATGTGTGCTTTAGCGTTCGGTTCGCCGTCGGACATGTTGATGATAAGGCGTTCGGACGTTCGAACGGACGCTAACGTCGCCGTTCGGACATCCGAACAGCCCTTACCTAATATGTACACACCCAAAAAAGGGCTTAGACGAGTAGGACCAATCAGCGCGCTCGTTCAAAATCTGAACGAATATTTAGACTCCAGACGCTACATATGTGTGCAAGTCCAGACCCAGTTATAGAGTTTGCGAATATACTACTGGGGATGGTACCCAGGCTAGTAGTCTTTTACTCCGTTGACAAGAAGTATCGTAATGTATTGTGTTAAAAAGATGCTAGTACATGTATATTGTCATTGTATCAGTACTTGGTATGTATATTTGCAACGCAGTTTAGTGTTTCTTGGGTGCAATAGAAGTCGCTTCACGAAATTTCAGTCCAGTGTTGTACATCATTGCACAAATGCTGCACGAACTATTTAATGTTGGCGGGTGCTAAGGGAAATTACTAGTAGTGGGACAGTTTTTGGGTACGTTATGATGTTGCATGATTATGAAATACATGTACATTGTACTAATACTAGTCGTTTGGGATAACGTTCATGTCTTTTGTTCAACAGACACTAAATGTGCAATATAATAAAGGATTAATACCCCGCCCCGAAGTGTGTATGTTTTGGTCAGGTGCGTAAACCACCGAATAAACCAAAGAGTGGATTATCTCGCCATATACACCGAGGATTATGCAGGGGTATATTATCAAATAGCCTATCCAACTGACACAGTTATTTCACACAAATTCCTTTATAAAATTCATCCATTGCCGAAAAAACTCTCAGTCTAATACGTGAAACAAGATGGCATGGACAGAAAAACAGATCATCTAAGGTAATCATCTGCGGTGACCACATGACATTGGAACAGTACCACTTTTAGTGAGGGTGTCAAAATTATTTTTAGTCTTTAGATTTCATTTACATCTTTTTAATTGTGTTGTATTTCTAAATATATCATTCAAAATAAACTACAATACTTTTTTTTAGACTTAGATAAATACATGTACTATAAGTCTTAACACTACTGTTAGTATCCTGTCCCCTGTATAATGGTACGGTCCAAAAAGTGGTCGGTCGTTCTAATAGCGTATAACCGACCACTTTTGAAATTTGAGGTTACGGCCTGATAATCAAGGGAAAATGGTTCCAACCGTCTGATTAATCGACGTCTTCTGGCTCTATGATCATAATAGATCATTCATACTTAAAAGTCCAAATGCCATTTGTGGCGAGATAGAAACAAATTCATCAGCAAAACCATCACACTGGTTTTTACTGTCCTTTGTTCATTCAAGTTTCTTGTCCCGCTGCATTGAGTTTAAAAAAAAAACTTCATCCACTTCGCCCTATATCTCCAGCTATTGAAATTCCACCTGGCGACTCCCAGGCCTGGCGACTCCCAGGCCTGGCGACTCCCGAACTTTTTGAATGGAATATTCCAACCTGCAGCGACCCCGCCACGGCGGGCGCTGATTGGCTGTAAGTTGGCCTGTGACGTACCCGGAAGTGGCGACCAAAAATCCAGTCTAACAGGCTACACAAGAACTGGTGCGGAAGTTGCCGTGTCTTACGTTTCTCAGATAGCTACCTACTCTCTCGCAGTCACATTGATTCTCTGTGCCAACGTACCATAGACTGATAGAGGCATAGAAGTTGACTGGTAGATCCCCCCCCACCCCCATCACATTTCGCCATGGCAAAAATCCTGCTACTTTTCCTGCTTTGCGCTCTAACAAGAATCTCCCGCCAGGACGACACCAACCCAGCCTGCCATGGCGCAGACGGAAGTATCTACAGCCCGGAGTGCAACACGCCTCCAGTCGAACTGACCAGGGAAGAGCTGTTTAAGAATGGACACATGAAACGTTTCGGCGCGCATCGGCCTCCTGACTTTATCGTGGAGGAACTGCCCTACATGATTGCACCTGAAGACTTCCATGCCCTGTACGTCTCCAAACACAAACCTGTAGTTATCAAGGTACGTGTTCCCACTCCCAAGCTACACCTTCAGGACTCCAGCACGCACGCCATGGCTCGAAGAATTTTTTTGCATACCTGCACTGGGGCATGTATAAACATTAAAGATAGCAAATAGCAATCAATTGGAATATCTACCCCCCCCCCTAGGCCTGTTAAAGGCTACTTCATGATGGCATGCATAGACCAGAACCTGTAATTATCCAAATCAATACTAGTACGCAGCTAAAACAGTACTCTCAGTCTTACGGTGGATATAGTGGTCATGTGTTACAACACTCACCCTCCAGTCAACAGAATTTTAATGTTGCCTTAGACCATTTTATTTTACCCAGACACTTTGCCACTGATGGGGTCATATAGGAGTTAACTATGATGATGATAGCATTGAATCATTGATATGCAGTAAATAGCAATGTTAAAATGTTGATATGATAATAGACAGCCTTTATTGTTGCTTCATGCCCTATTGGGCTACCGGTGAGTACACACATATAAATACAGAAGTAATAGAACATACATACATAGTATTACATATAAAACACATGGCTATTGAGCTTTGGCTACAGAATTAACCAATGTCGTGCTGTATCTGTGCCCCAGGGTGCAGCTGAGTACTGACAATAAGATATCATTTTTATGGCTATGGAGATTGGGCTACAGAATTAACTGAGTTTGTGATGTATCAGGGTGCAGCTAAGTACTGGCCTGCCTACACAAAATGGACAGACGA